GGAGGAAGACGGCGATATTACATTTAGAATAAATTCTGGAATTTTCAAAAATAGGAGAAGAATTAATAAAATTTAGTTAATAATTATGTTAAAAGTATACAAAATTTTATTAATTCTTCAACCATTTTTGAAAATTCCAGAATTTATTCTAAATGCAATATCGCCGTCTTCCTCCGCGACCCTTTCACTTCTAAAAGTTTGCATAACTGTGTTAAACTACTATAAAGTAGTGCAACATTTGATTGCTAATAACTCTGATCAATACTTTTAGTGAATGCTACAAATTTAAAATAGAGTTTGTATACTTTTAACGTAGTTATTAACTAAATTTTATTAAAATTTATTAGAAGACACTCCGACAGTTCCCTTGTAAGAAGAAATTTTTTGTAAAATTTCCCCCCCACAGGGGAAGTGTTATACATTTATAATAGATACATTTTGAGCCACAACAACGTGTGGCGGGGTCTGCTAGTTCAAAATAAAGAGAATATTTGGTCATTTTAAAATTAATTTTCTTATTTAGAGGTTTATTTTACATTGTCTTTTTAAAACTGTATTATAATTTAAAATTTAAATATCCCTCTCAATGACATACTTTAAATTTAATAAAATTAAATAAAAAAGTGAAATTAGTTTCAATGATATTATACCATATATACAATTTGGAACCATTACATGTCAATCCTCCCATGTTGTGACAACATCACTAAAATGGTCAATGTCAGAAAATCATATATAAAATCTTATTTTAATATTTACTTAATTTACCTTTCCACTTTTCCCTGATTTCATCCTTGCTATAACTTCCTAAATCGTTTGATCAGTCCAGAACAAATTTTCAGAGTTATTTTCTAGGATCTTATGAAAACTATAGTCTATACCTGGACATCTTACTGATTTCACCTTCTTGACACTTTGTGATAGTTTTAGGTTAATTCATTATTACATAAATATGCATTGTGTAATAATGAAGGTGCCATGTAGTCCCTGAGTCATAATCTTAGTGATGTTTTCAAAGATTATATGGTCTTCTTCCAAATTTTGGTAGCTCTGCCAAAATAATGATGATGATTTGAGCTGGCCAAATATAACCAAACTAATAATATGGTTTTATTTTTAATGTTTATCTCTAATTACTTTTTTACCTAGGCATCACTAAGCTTGTTTGTTTGTTTATATGTGTATGTAATAAAATCAGAATACTTTAGTAGTAAAGTTTTTTATAAATGTATTAACTGTTGTAATTGTATTAAAATTGACTAATTGTGAATATTTTTAATATTACTGTATATCTGATTTAATAAGTATTCTTTAATATAACTATAAAAATTTTACATTAAGACAAATTTGTTTTCATTTATATCAAGGCATTATTAAAAAGAATTGAATCAGCTAAACCATCAAGAGATATTAGTAGAACCCATTTATTAAGAGATTATGAACGATTATCAAGTTTTTCATACTCTTCAAGATCATCCTCAAGACCACAATCTGCAACTAGAAAACCATACCATTCAGGACGGAATTCTCTCCAGCAATCAGTTCGATCAAGCAGCTTAACTAGTCTACAATCATCTAACAAGTTAAATCCAATCTCTGTTACCCAGAGCAAACAAAAAAATGTTAGACCTTTTTCTACTTCTTCCAAATCTTATACAATGAAACAGAATCAAGCATCAGATTGTAGAAGTTGAGACAAATTTTTTAGATTAAACATTAGAAATGAAAAATATTTAACTATAAAAAAAAAGAAAAAAAAAAGAAAAATTGGAATTCTCTTTCAAAATTGTAATTATCAAAAATAAGATAAGCATCCAAGTCAAAATAAATATTTTTTATGCAGACAGTCAGCATATATGTTAATCTTATTTAAAAATTATCACTCTCTCTTATCTGGATTTTTCTAACATCCAGATCACTCACACCCACATTAGTTTAGATATGGGAGAGTCTACTATAATGGTCAGTGATAGCTGCTTGTAAAATGGCACATTTTCCATTTTTTCCATTTATGTGTTGATGCTTAATGGATTATCCATGACTGATTTCCAAGCTGTGGAGTTTTGGCATCCTTGCTGTTCATGCAAATTTTCTTGATTGTGGTCTTAAAGCTTTTCCAAACTTCTAGTGTTCTGAGTTTTTGCACATTAAAATTTGTTTTAATTAGTTTGGCTTCCTCCCAGGTGATTGATATAACAACAGCATTACGCAGTGTGGAAAAGTGTGCAAGGTTATTTGTAACACATCAAGAAAGTGTTCAGTCAATGGTTCTCTAGTGTAAATGAACAAGGTGTTACATATCAGTGATCCAAAGCTGAAAAATAAGACAAAGTAGTTAGCTAAGAAGCTGACAACAAAGATTTCAAAGCAACAGGTGGTTGGTTGCCTCAGTAGAAATCTAGGCATGACATTAAATTTAAGAAAGTACAATACTTGGTGAGAAGAACAATGGCTGAACATATAAGTGCTGAATAATAAAAATCCACAAACCTATCCAACTTACTTCAAAAATTTTCTGCAGATAAATATATGTATTAAAATTGATAAAACAGATATGTTTTATTTAGTGACAGTGGACACTTTCCTATCTAAAAACATTCAACACTGATTTAAAGAAAACAATGGGTCACATAAATGTGTTATGCCGCTCACTTGTCTGAAAATGATAAAAAGAAGCTTTTGATTATTAAAAAAAACACTTGGCACTTTAAAGAACTTAGAATGAACAATTTAGCAGTTTTATATTATAAAAATACAAGAATGATTTCTGAAATTTTTAAGAAATAGCTAATAAGTTGTAATATGAAACTATAACAAAAGTTAAGAAAAGGTCTGTGCATTTTGCAAATCATGTAGCACATTTTCATTTAAATTTTAAAAAAATATCCATATGGAATTTTTGTCTCCCAATGTCACATCATTGGTGGTTAGTGGTTTAGGAATTATAAAAAATTTAAAGATGTATTGAAGAAAATTAGTAAACTGCATCCATGACACAATTGAAGCAATTAATGTTTGAAACATAAGTTTACATTAAATTGAAATTGTTTTTAGCATAAATAGTTATTTCTTTTGATCAGTACCATTTGTTCCTGAATTTANTAAATATTATAAAAAAATTGTAGCTTATAAATATTTTTCTGACTCTTAATTATCATTAAGATAATTTTAAAATTTATATGGAAAGTTGTAGGCTTTTAATATTCATGAAATAGAAAATTTTTTTTAATCTTAATTGATTGACAAAGTAAAAAAATCCTTTAAATTAGCAATTATCAAAATTTAATGTGCAAGTAACATTTGGCTATTTTTAATAACTGAACAATCTTATGAAGACTATTAAAAATAGCCAAGAACATTAATTGTGCATTAAATGTTTGATAGTTGCTGATTTAAAAGCTTTTGGTGCTTAGAAAACTTTTTGATGATATTCTGAGATGTTTGAATTTATTTATTTTCTTTTTCAGAAATTAGCAATGAAAAATAATCTTAAAAAAAGGAAACAAATAAAATCTTAATGAAGACATAACTATGGCATAAATAATAATAAAAATTTATTCACATTTGAAAAGAAGCATTCTAATATTTCAATCCAAAATTTAAATGTAAATTAGTTTCAAAATAGAATTTCTTACAAGTCATTACAATTGATTCTTAAGATTATTAACTGTAAAGTTATTGGAAATTTTCAGTTTTTCATTTTAATTCTTTATTTTTTTATCTTCAAATTAACAATATTGTCACTATTTAAAGTTATCATTTAAAGGATAGTAAAGCCTCAGAATATCATTAAATATTTTTCATTGACATTAATAGTAATTATATTATTTCTTTATAAGTTTCAAACACATAAAGAAAAAAAAAGAAGTGAATGTATCTTTGATTATGATATAAATATTTTAAACTTTAAATAAATTCTTAATTTTTGTAATACTTTTTTATATTTTTATAAAGTTGAATATAATATAAATATATTTGAGTTTATGGTGATTTTACCATTGTTACAACTGTTTAATATTAGAACTTTTGTCTTCCAGTTTCTATATTACAGTATTAATTATATATTAATGCTTCCATAGAGCTGTCATAAGGTATATGAATAAAATAAATGACATGTAAACAAAAAAACATAACACTTGTCTGAATGCATATATAGGACTGAAATGTCATAAAATATTTTAATTTGGAATAGTTTGATGAAACAGTTTATTTTACATTAATCAAATATAATTTATCTAATGAGAATACTTTCTTGCAAATTATTTATATTGCTGTTATTCAGGATTTTGTACAAATTAATCTTAAGTGAAATTAAGTATTATTGTGGGCTATAAAAATTTAATATAAATGATTTCTGAAATTAATTCTAAATAATAACAATAAGTTTAAACAATTTCAAAATTTACAAAAAATATCTTGAAAATTATTTAAGAAGCTTTAATATTTATGTAAAGTTTTGAGTGAGATACATTCATCAAATAGCAAGGAATTTGATTTGAACATGCTAATCTAATCCTGAAAATTTATATCTAAGCAGTAATCACTTAAAAGTGGTAGATCTTTAAATATTATGACACACACACCTTATATTGCTACTTTATTGTTTTAAAGGAATGTTCATTTAAAGTAATAAAGTAGCAATATAAGGTGTGTGTGTCATAATATTTAAGGAGTCTGAATATATGTTGAAGATCATTAAATAATTATGTTTCTTAAATAGTTTTCAAAATAACAGTATAACATGAAAACTGCTTCTTTGATATGATATTCTTTTTTTTTAAATATTATTTGATCTGAACACAGATATTTGAATAATTTAAGATTATGGTATTTCATTTTTTTTAAATTTTGTTATTTGTTCTAATATTATTTTATTAATATTGAATTAACTTGAAATTTTTTGGATTCATTTTTCATTTTCCACTTTTTTAATCATTCAGATTTCTTAGGTAAAGATAAAATACTGTCTGCTCATTGATTAGACATCATAAAAACATATAATAGCTAAACAGTTCTATTATCTAAACTCACATGTCACTAAAACTGTGAAATGTAACAATTTTGCCTATGCCTCAGGGATTTACAGAATTCATGCATTTTATAAATCAGGTTAGGTCATGTTGGAACAACACTTATGAACTTGTTAAAACTGTGTTGATAAATATCCTTGATGATTATCTTGTCTAAAATTTCAGTGAATAAAAGATATCAATTGATATTTATAAGGAATGTTTCTATTCATTCAGTTAGATAAAATTTTCAGATTGAACTGAATGAAATGTAGATTATGAATACAGAATTAAACATAATGTGTAACATGTTAGAAATCATACATTCAAAAAGCATTTTACATTAAATAGATTATATATGATTTTTTACTTATGGTTATTATTTGAGGGAAATTTTATGACATCTGCTATTCAAATTCATTACCTTTTTGCTACTTTTTAAAAATTATTTTATAAATATTGTTTTGTGATTTTAAATATTTCATATTAATTTACTGTTATATTTAAAATTTAATAAAATATTGTAGGAAGGAAAACAAAGAAATGGTCTTTGGTATAAAAAAGTAATTTTTTGTGAGTTCTTAAGCATTTTTGGAATCTAAAATTTCTATTTTTAGATTTCGTAAAATTAGAGGGCTGCAATTTGAAAAAATTGTAGACCTATAAATTTTCACTTTTGTCCATTGTGTCTTTCCTTCCTTAATGTCTAAAACAGTGCTAGATAGATGAAAGTCAAGACCACATATGGAAAGCTTAGGTGCAGATTAACTATATACAAACTTTGCTTTGGGCCAGAAGTCACATTATTTCAGTTCAAAAATTTTTCTCTGAATGGAGTTAGATAGATTACCAGCATGACTTCATTGTTAACAGGAAAAGTATGATGTACAAGAGCAAGACACTACTAAACTTAAGTGTATTGTGACATTGTCACAATACACTTAAGTTTAGTAGTGTCTTGTTCAATGTTCAACATTGTTCAAGTGTCTTGTTCAATGTTACTTTAAAAAATAATTATGTATTGTGACATTGTCACAATACATAATTATTTTTTAAAGTAACATTGAAATTGAATTCAAACTAGAAAAAATTGATCAAATTTTTATGTTTCAATTTAATTATGGGTTATTATAGAACAAATATTCACCATAAAAAGATAATCTAAAAATGTAAATTTTAATTCCCAAAAATATTTAAGTATTCATTGAAGACTTGACCTGTGTATTCTGCTGTTTCTGTAATGGTTATAAATCAGAGTCCTGACTGACTGACTGATTTTTATTTTAAATATTTCTTGTTTTATTATTTAATTATAATGACATTCCAGTTTATTATTTTGTCAATATTTTTATCTTTGTAAATTTGAAGAATTGACTTTTGTTTTGATATAATTTTGACTGTATCATAATTTATGATATATATTTTTATATTAACATCGTAAATCTTCCATGAAATGCATATTTGTTTTTTTACAAATGTATAAAGATTTTGCTTTGTTTGAAAACTATTCATTTCTAATTTAAAGGGTTTTTATTAAATTAACTATTGTAGATTATTTACTGAATTTTTATATGGTTACAATTCATTTAGTAATTTCTAATTGCAAAGTTTTCCTCTGAATTTATACGTATATTGTTTATTTGGTAATGAGGATAAATACTTTATATGCTTAGTTTGATTAAAATATATATTTATGTTTAAACTGAAGATATTGTCCAAAAATCAAATAGCATTAAACATAAATTTATACCATTTTATTTT